GAAGATGTGAGGAAGGAGAAGGAAAATGGCTCAGTTATTAGAGAGATATTCCCTTATGGCGGTCCTAAATGACGGTAAGGTGGGAAGATCTCGTATGGCAGAAGGAAGGGAGTTCCAGAAATAGGTGGCCGAGACATGGAAGGACAGACGCATGGCTTCCGTCCTGAAAGGACGGACCAGTAAGGGAGTCATCTCACCCCTCACGGGCCGCGCGAGAGAGAGAGAGAGAGAGAGAGAGAGAGAGAGAGAGAGAGAGAGAGAGAGAGAGAGAGATTTTTTAGTCAATACAATGCTTTAAACATGACGACGAACTGAGCATATAAATTCGAATCGAGGAAAGAAAAAGATGGAAAAATCAATAGTCGACATGTTGAAATAATTCTTCAAGTAATACGACGTATTATGAAGAAATGTTTAAATAACGGATAATAATGGAAGAGGTGAAGCCATTACAAATTAGCACCGTATAAATGCGGAGTTCTGCAAAATTGTTTTCATTTTATTGCAACGTCTATTGCCTCGCGCAGAATAATTATTGCTGAACTTTACGACGAAGCACGTATATTTCACCAAGAGCCCGTTCGATAGTCGTAAATTGGAGAACAGATTGATCGCCAACGACAACGACCGAGACAACGACTGCTAGATGTGAAGCTTACACGCAAAATTCTTCTGGCATTACCTTAATCAAAAATCGAGCGACAGGCTGAAAAGTATACGAAATTATAAGTTTTTGAAGATACGATATCAAAAATTTTATGACTATAGACAACGATTGATAATTTTAAAACGTTTCATAAAAGTACAATGTGTAATTTTTTTTGTTATAAATTCGCAAATATAAAAAAAGGTAAAAGTAAAATTTATGATCGTATATTACCGCATGTGTTTCAAATATCACACTCGCTCATTTTCATATTGTTTATACAAGCTAAATTTTAAAGAAAATACGCGATTCCTACCGAATATTATTTATTGTACACACGGCGCATTTTCAAATAATCAAAATTCACAATTTAATAATTCGATAAATTTAATACGCGGGAAATTAGTCACCACGGATTTCTTTGTGCTAGACGACAGTATCACTGTGCCTGCTACTTCTACAAGAAGTTCCGCGTATTTTTAGAGAACGCAGCCCGAAATGCGCGAGCATGATGTGCAAACCGCGAGTTTATTTTCGGTGGAAATCCTACATGGTGTGCGGGGCAGAATCCGATCGGCTTAAAAAAAGCGCGTGTCTGCGTTGCGCGGGTTTTTCAAGGCCATAGAGAAAACTTTCCGGGGCCATTGTATCGTGTCGCGTTTTCGGAATTTCGTCAAAGACTCAGACTCGCACGCTCTGATTCACTCGTCGAAGAGGAGTCACGCGCCACCGCGGAGAGGCCAGCGTCTGGTCATTGCTTCACTAATCCATGCCCCCTCGCAGGATTAGTCAAATCCAAAAATAATACCGGGCATGCATCGCGATGCAAATGGACGCGGCGGTGCAAATTGAACATTTCGCGATCCCCCGAACTTAAGATCCGAGGTCTGACGTAACGGGGTTGCCATCGAGCACAGATAACGCCTAGAATTATTACGGAAATAAACACAATTGAGAATGCCGTGTGCAGATTCGAGGGCAATGATTCCTACGCCTCGAAGATCCCGCGCGTCGACCAACTATTAATATGTTCCTTCGTGAGAATAAAAAGCTAAATATGCGACGATCTCCGACAAGCTGCGAGACTTGTGACTCTAGCATCTGACCTCTTGCACTGTCTGCCCAATTGTTCAGCACTCAAAATTTTGTTTTAACGCGTCTCCCGAGTCGGACGTTATAAGTCTATGTATTGCTGATTGATATCAGCACTTTATTCACGAGATATCACGAGTGGCGATACTAGGTGCCTTTACGCTTCGTACATCCCTCCGTGAGCACGAAGCTACAGCGTATCATTTACTGGAGCGAACACGATTTTTTAAATATAAGACGGTGTTCTTGTCGAACGCTACGACACAAAAATAATTTCGTAATGCCACGAATTGGTAGGTCGATGATTAAATCGATAAATAATGATTGAAATGACAAACGGTGAAACGTACAGCTCACCGAACTCAATCACTTATAAGATGATATTTTTAATTTCTCTTCGTTTTTTATATAATGCCGACTGTCCCTGGTTTTGTCTTTATGCGCACTTTAATCGTGTAGAAGAATTTTGCAATTTAATAAAGCCAATTTCAAATTTAAAATACTACGAGGTGAAAGTTTCAAATAAGTTTTTTATTAGACCTCTGAACTGAGTGTTCTAAGTATGAAAATGTCCTGCTACGCGGTCCGTAACTTACCCTGGTATTATTTTGTGCATAAAAACCAATAAAAAGAATTACAAACACAAAAACTATATTTGACTGTGTCGGTAAAAAACATGGCTGAGGGATTGGCTTTATAGAAATGCACTCATTTACGAATTAAAGTACGCAGCAAAATCTAGACTGTGCTGAACGACTTTATATCAAAAACGAAAAAAAAATTTTACTAATTTTTGGTACACTTGACGACAATATTTGCTTGATACAAGAATCCATACATACAAAATGAGACCAGCATCCTCTATGGTGTCGACAATGCTAAAATTCGATCCAAAATCTCGGTCTGAGCAACGTGTAGCTAATATAATATCGCTGCTTTTGAAAAGTTGCAAATTGATTGGCTATAAATTTCTCGGACCGAGTAGAACTTGGAATTAAAAGTGTCGACAATTGACGTTTTTAATTCCGTCTCGTATCTTATTGACACTGATCGAGTTGGCCAGCGGCTGTAGGATCCCCTTAAGCCTAATCTACAATGTGCTCTCTGCAACTAGAAGCATTTATACAAATTATTTCGATCGATATGACATTGTTAACGTTATTACTACGTTTCCAAGACAAGCCGAATCGTGCGCATTCCCTATAAAACAATATCGTTCCCGCCCCACACTTTTCGATTAGTTGAAATATTTCAGATGCAGGCGTCGTTAAAAATACGGAAATACGGAACTATGCCGCGTGCGGAATCGCATATCGCTTTCAATCGAAAACATTTCAACGTCGACTAAAGCCCGAGGCAGCCGGCACAATAGTATTTTTTTCAATGCACGAAGCCGCGCGCATTAAAAAAGCGCGCACGTTAGCCCGCGTATTTCTCTGTTTTGATTTCGAACGGTGGCGCGCGCGCGGTGTGCAAAGTGGACTTGAAAATAACCCCGCCGCGAGAGCGGAGACCAACCCGGTCTATTAATAGTTCGCCGACGTAAGTATCTTTGTCGCCGGTTCAGCGTCGACTACGCGCGATTCGGCCGCAAAATCCGCCGATATACAGTCCGCGCGCGCGCCCGTCGCCCCGAAGACGTCGGAGTCCGCGATGCAGCTGACACCTCCGTCCGTCGCGGAGGTCTGCCAGTGGACGACTCGCGGCGCGGATGAATCAGGAGCTGCCAGTTAAGTGCGAGGCCCGAAAAAGCGAGAGGAGAGGAGAGGACGTTTCCTACGGAGAAACGTCTATCCGGCGGACATAAACGTCGTCCGCGAGACTTCTCCGATTGCTCCGCCGCGATTTTTGGCGTTCGCGTATAAGGGAGGCTGGAGGGAACTGAAAACCGCGTTTCGGGCGAATCTAAATAAAGAACTATGCAACGTGGCGGCTGAGGCGGGGCGCGGCGGCTCGGGATACGCGAGAGAGTGAGCAAGAATGGTACAGCGAGCCGCATGCAGCAACGAGACGAGCGCATCCCTCAATGGCGTACCGAGCGGCGAGCGCAAAGGAGGAACGTCCGGCGTCGTCGTCGAGGCGGACGCGGTGGTAGCGCGCGGCGCAGTCGCTGGTGAACCGACTTTAACACGCGGCAGCGGCGGAAGCGGAAGCGGCAGGTTCTCCCTGTTCAGGTGGTTCAAGCGAAATCGCGATTCAACCGTGGAGAAACGACGGCGAAGGGGCGCGAGGCCGGACGACGACGACGATGGCGTCGTCCGACGACGTAGCAGCGTCTACTCCAGCGCGGAGAGCGTAGACACCTTCTACAGCACCACCACGGTTCGCAGCTTCGCGTTTCACACGGGCACCCTGGGCCGTTGCGACGCGCTGTCTCTGGACATACTGAGGCAAGCGGCCGAGGTAGGTCCGTTCGCCGCCGGAGCCTCCAAGGTGTACCTCGGTAAGGAGAACAACGCGCTGTCGAGCGTCGCCTGCACGCTACCGATCAACGTGCACTCTCGAAGACGAGACATCACCACCAGGTACTCGCTGCAACCTACGACCTTCAGCTCGTGCGGCAACTTTCTGACGACCGAGAGGGGCCTGTCGGACTCGTCGGGGAGGCTCGATGGAGGCGCGAGTATCAACGGATCCGCGCGGCGACGGGTCCACGTGAAGGGAAAACGGAGAGCGCCCAACCCTCCCGGCGCGGCGAAGATCGCGGGGGTTGATGTACGCGAGACGCCGCCGGCGAGAAACAGCAACAGACGAAAACGACGGGCACCGCGACCTCCTGAACAGTCCAAGCTCGACACCGATGGCGACGGCATGGAGATAGAAGAGCGAAAGGCTGCCGACGAGGGACAGTCGATCAGCAACGACACGCTGATCCTTCAGGGTGGTATGTTGCTGTCGAAGAAGGAGGTCTGCGGCAGTCCGAAGGCCGCGAGGAGCAACGAGAGCGACGCGGGGGTGTCCGGCGCGACGATCCTTCAGGAAAGAGCGCAGAGCCCCGCTGGTACTCTGAACATGCCTCGGCCCTGGTACAAGCGCAGCGTTTTCGAGCACTCTCGCGACTCCGGATCGTCCAAGAGAGGCGCCGTCTTTCGCAGCCCTGCCGAAATGAGGGAGGAGTACGTCGGGACGAATGTAAATTCCTCCCCGAGTTACTCCGTCGACGCTTCTCTGTCGAGACTGAATTTTTTCCATCGCGGCGAGCGGCAGAGCGACGACAGGAAACGGCAGGAGGCCAAACGAAGATCCGGCTTGTCCATCCTGACGAACATTAGCGAGCTGGACAAGGAAGCGGCGGCGATCGTGCAGGAGGAGCAGGCGCGGACGCGGGCGTCGATGTTGCTGAAGACCTCGAGGTTTGCCGACGAGTTCGACAGGAGGGACGCCGTCAACGAGGAACTCGTTCAGGACATGGTCACCTCGGCGATCGAGAGCTCGTCGCCTAGGCGAGGCACGCGCGCGTTAATCTCCAAATTCAATGCCATCAGCAACATCACGAAGGTCACGGTCAACGCCAATTTCTTTGCCAAAAGGGATCAGCCGGGTTATAAGCTGGATCGCGACGCAACGAGAAACAGCAAGTTCGAGCAGGTCGGAGATTGGAGGAGTCAGAGGTTCTCGGTCCAGCAAGATCTCGGCCAAAGCGTCCGCGTTGACAAAGATATCTCCAGGTACTTCCTGCCGCAGCAGAGATCGTCGAGGAATAAAACCGAAGCGGACGTAAAGTCAGTGGACATCAAAATCACCTCTGGCAAAGAGCAGAATGATCAGCTGATGAAGGACGCGTCCAGCAGAATATCGTTCTTACAAAGTCAGCTCGCCGCAAATCGCTCGAGTGAGCCTGTAACTGCTCAGAAGGATATCGCGTTTCCGGAAGAAAAGATTAGATCGCAAGAAATGGCGAGAGAAATGAAGGACAAGGAATCGCCGAGACTGAGCAACGAAACGAGGAGAAAATTCCTACTTTCCCGCGCTCGTAATTTAGCCGAGGGCAGGGAGAACGCGTTAGATCCCTTCAGAGAAAAGGCGGAGGGGGTGCAGAGGGAATTTTCGGACATTTTCGACGAGATCGACCGACAGCTGCGTTCTAGACAGTTCAAGCTCATCGAGCGGAGACCAGCGGCCGAATCTGACAGTGTCGGTGCCAAAGTTCCGGAGGACGAAGCCGTATCGAGCAAAGTGGCTAAAGTGCTCGATATCCTCGTGGAAGCCGAGAAGGATGGCAAAACGAGACCGGTGATACAGCCGGAAAGATCGATGCGAGACAAGGGAACGTCGGGTCTGATTGATTCCGGCCGGAAGGCCAAGTCCAGCAAGACAAAAGTAACCGCTCTCAATACCGTCGAGGACCCAATTACCGCGGATTTGAAGGAGATGCTGAAGGAGATGAAGCACTCGTTACCGAAGCGGCCCAGGTCGAAGAAGGCTCTGTCAAACGACGGCGATGTTCTCGAAAAGGTTGAGAAGCGCTCGCCTGTACCTAGAAACAAGACCTCCTACGCTGCCTCGGCGACGACAACGTCGAACGATTACGAGACGGATAAGCAGAAGGTATCCTCGTCGGCGCAAACCAGTGGAAACATCCGTAGATTGAATCAGCCTTCTACTTCCGCCGAGCGACCGTCTACGTCTGCGGGATGGAAGCACGAGAACGTGCTCTACAGAACTTCTGGCAGAGGTTCGGTCCTTGTGAAGAATACTTTCCAACTGATACGACCGCGCGATTTCGCCGAGATAGAAGCTATGAAGACCACGAAGGAGGTGCGCAAGGAAAACACTTATGCCAATGTGATAGAACCGTCGCTGTACGCCAATACTCACGTTCCACCCGTATCGCCGAAGCAACGAGCGGATCCGTCGACGTCGAAGGATACTTCGCATAGTAATCAGCCCGAGGAGCAGCCCAATATCACAAACGAGAGTAAAATCATGTTGAACAATGATGAGCTTGCGAATAAAGGTAATATCGCAAATTGCAATCGCTAAAGCGATAATCTGGCGACGGATTATCCATTCGGAGCAAAATTCCTGTTTCAATTGTTTACAGGGAATTATTATAAATAAGCGAATAAATAATCTTTGAAGACTTTCAGGAAATTGAATCGGTTTTAATTAATTTGTCCTGACTCGGCGTTTCTTTGCAATTGTAAAAGTAACTTGGCAATGCGATGACTGTTGCAGACGATAATTCAACAGCGAAGAACATGAATACCCTGGCCATAAATCGATTACTAAGAAAGCTGGAAGGGGCCATCGCGTCGGGCCATCATCAGCAAGCGGCGGGATTAGCGAAGGAATTGGCAAGGCTCAAAATCCATTGTTCGGTGATACGACAGCGTTCGGCGGCATGTTTGAAGGATCAGTCGATTAAAGTCAATATGTATATCGAAGACAAACTCGCTCACCAAGGACCGATACCACTTCAGGTAAGTAACCGATACTGACGGTTGCTCGATAAGCAAACAAAACGTTTCATGGACCGGGCTGTGATAACAGCTGCCGACGAGAATGACGGTGGCCGAGCTGAAGACAAAGATACATACGGAGTTCGAGATACCCGCGAACGTGCAGCGATGGATCATTGGAAAAAACTTGGCTGATGACGACGGGGCGACCCTCGACGGGCTACACGCAGTGGACGGCTCGCCGGTGTTTCTTTATCTCGTAGCGCCCGGTAATTCGACTCGTTCTCACGTTTCAACACAATTCCTGTTGACCTTTATTCTAAAAGTCGGTAGACATTTATCTTACATATATTTAAAATTGATTGTTATGCGAAACGCTTTTTTGTGCTTTTTAAAATTGTAAACTAATATTATATTGCGGAATTTTGTAGAACTGCACGCCGACAATACAGCGCAAGCGAGCAAGCCGCAGCGAACAGAGGAGATGGCAGAGGAGATTCCCGAGGAGTCGCCACGAGATCCGCCAATGGAAGTCTCGCAAACGATCGAAGAAAAGCAAGACGCTGAGGAGACTGACGAAATAACATCGACAACAATCGAGAATCAGGTAATAATCGCGGTCTTCTGGATTTTCATTTGTTCGTCAGCTGGCCGCGCACGTTAATCGAAGGGGAAGGTGTGCGACGCGCGTCTTGATATGCTCGTGTAACAATAGGAAGAGACAGCGGAGACAGAGATGTCGGAAGGTGTCAAGATAGGACGATACGAGGAACTGATATCGCTGGAGAACTGGGACGTCATCCCGAACTCCGAGCCAATCGAGTGCCCAATATGCTTCGTTACATACGGCCCGCGCGAAGGTGTAATTCTGAGGGATTGTTTACACATGTTCTGCAGGTAGAAACCCCCTTAATCTGCCTCACATCCCAGCTTTAATTACTGCTTAATCCGTTAAGTACAGGGACCAATTTCAGCGGCCGTATCGTGCTCCTACATAGGTGTTTTCCCTGCACAGAGATAATCTACGATAGATAGCTCGCGCTCATTATAGCTGCTCCCTACAACCGCCTATGTCGATTCTAATTTATCCTAGCGAAATGCATTTAGCCGGCTCGAGCATCTAGATATGTATGAGTTACACATTAAACCGCGATGCATCACAGATATATTTATCTGCTCCATAATACGCTGATTCATGTGCATTACTAATGCGACAATTACGCTGCTGCGAAACATGCTACACAATCGTATGGACGGATATCCTAGATTCTGTTCTCTCGTGCGGTGAACTCTGTAAAAAGAGGAAAAAATACGCGCAACAGTCCAACTACGATTCTTTATTTTCTATCAGTCAACAAATGCGCGCATCTTTTATTTTCACGTATAATAAACGTCCCTCGTATACACGGGTTCTCGCAGGCCATGTATCGCCAATACGATCGCTTATTGCGAAGAAGCCGAGGTGAAATGCCCGTACAGAGACCCCGACTATACGTGCGAATCGACTCTTCAAGAACGCGAGATCAAGGCGGTGAGTTTCTGTTTAAGATTACCCAAGTTTTAACAAAGTTTGCGATGATCCCATTATTGTTTACGCCTAGCTCGTCGAGCCGGAAGTTTATCAGCAGCACCTCGCCAAGTCGATCGCGCAGGCGGAGAACAATGCTGGAAACAAGGCTTTCCACTGCAAGACACCGGACTGTCCCGGTTGGTGCATCTACGACGACGACGTGAACAATTTCCTGTGTCCTGTATGCGAAGCCAACAATTGTCTCACCTGTCAGGTGAGCGTTGCTCGTATCTATCGAAAAATGTGCGAGGGAAAAAAATTGCGGAAAGCTAAAACACGATATGCAATGAGGAATTAAAAATATTAGTTTATGTGCGCGAAACCGATAAGCGGTATTAAACAATAATGAAATTCGATGCATTATTTCCAACAATAAAAATATATTGCAACGCCGAAAGCTATTTTGCTCAAAATATATTATACATGCTCGCGCTCAAATTTACAACGAGAATTCTTTCGTTGTTGTTTTGTTTCTCATTTCTATAGATACAATTACTGGTTTTCGTTTCAATTACGATCGCATAAAATATTAACAACGCTTTTATTAAAATTACCGCAATATTTAATTGAGAATGGAAATATTAAAAAATTGTATTTATCTCTTTTTTTCCTTTCTTTCTCACAGTATACGCATTGCGACACAAATTTATTGAACAATGCAAATTGAAAATAATTCATAAAGTAACCAAAGATTTTTAAAATAATGAAGAGCGCATTTTTTATTTCAAAGGTCGTTCATACTGGAAAGAATTGCAAACAGTATCAGCAAGAATTGCAACTTTCGAAAGAGACCGACCAGGAATCTAAAAGGACAGCGGCGATGCTCAAAGAAATGGTCGAAAGAGGGGAGGCACTTGCGTGTCCCACGTGTGCCGTTGTTCTTATGAAGAAATGGGGTTGCGATTGGCTGGTTTGCTCAATGTGCAAAACGGAGATATGTTGGGTAACCAGAGGACCGCGTTGGGGCCCAGGAGTAAATATCAATTTGTTTCCTGCAATTTATTAGGATCTCTGAAAGAGTTGTGGATTCTAACGAGCGTAAACTTTTTAACAATTAACGACATCATTACGTTCTACGGCCTTATTGATCGAGGCTGTTACTTGTCGCAGGGTAAAGGAGACATATCCGGCGGTTGCAGATGCGGTGAGAACGGAGTAAAGTGTCACCCCCGTTGCAATTACTGCCACTAAAGAATTACAACTGCCACAACAATGAGAGCACGCCAAGTTTACAGTGATAACAAGGTCTCCTAGAAATGCTTTAGAAATTATTACCCATATTGACACATAATAATTTACAGAACCGATGTGACGTACGAAGATCTTTTATACGTGCGTTTAGCACAAGCTCGAACCCCGGTAAATCGGTACGAAACAGGAATTATACGCTGCTTGCTCAATAATTGTACTCTCATTGCGGCACTGTCCTTGATAGGATTGAAAGTGATACTCTAATAAAAAGGAGGAACACGCTTAACTTTGTACCAATGCTTGTTATTTTTACCGCAAATACAAAGTGTAGGGAAATAAATCATACTTTACTTAAAGCTTTCGATAAATCTAAGTTGTATAATAAATTATCGATACAAGCAATTTTTTGCAATTATACAGGCACCGATTCTTCGTTCTCGCTGGGAGCCGTTTCATTTGTACCGATCTGTTTTAATCGATTAACTAACGTGGACTGATGATGCGTGAGCTGCTGATTCAAGTTGTTACCGCCTGCGTTCTGTAACAACTGCACGAGATGAACTCGCGCTGATGTAAGATCCATTTTGCCGTATCTCAAAAAGTCCGTCTTATTGAGCACATGTCCCTCTAGTATACCCGCTGCAAGAAGAAGAAACAGATTTATTACAGCATCTCTCCATTTTTGGCGCTACTTGCGGTTTACTCAATAAAATCTTACCCAATAAAATGACTTGTGGGAACTTTTTAGTAATTTTCTCGAAGGCAGCGACGTTTATGTCAGAACCAAATACAATGGAGAATCTTGACGCAAACAATGGCATTGTCGCCACGTAAGGCGAGTCTGCCAACGCTAATCTCATAATCTTATTGCTGTATTGTTTGTAGTACATATTTGCCCTCTTCAATGGAACTTTAAGCTCAAACTTGACCTCCTCCGACATGGGATTCTCATGGCAAATGGCAACCATTTTGGAATTGTCAAACCAATTGCGGACCTCACGTGCTATTATTCTTTGGTAAGGATTATATTCCTCCTCCCTCTTCTTCTTTCTCGCAACTGTTGCTACATTCTTGCATAATTCCTCTAATCTCTTGCCTTCGTTTCGTGGTGGATAAAAGGGCCTCAGAAATGCGTTTACCAATCCTCTGTAGTAATGCGGCGCTCTCGGCTTTTGTATATTAATTTTGCCTCGAAAACGCTTCTGTTGATAAAGAATTGCGTTTGGAGTAATCTGAAATGCTGAAACACACAACAGAGCAACATCGTTGAATTACAGCGAAAAGTTAACTGGAAAGCAGAGAAGAAAGTCGGTTCGGTTAAAAAGTCTGTACCTACCACCGCGACTTTTGCGACCTTTTTTTATCCTCGATGTCAATAGACATCTCTATTGCAAATTCAAGATTCTATGGGTACACGTTGAATCAACGGGAACGACGGCAGTTTGAATCAATTTAGCAGCAGAATATAATTCCTCCTTTGGAACTATTATTTAATTCCGATGTCATATAAACTACATGTGTAACGTTTACGTCGTAGTAAGTACATGATCCGTATCAGTTAAAGACAAGTACAAAATTATATATACAGAATTAATTATCCTCTTTTAATGATATAAGGCACTTTGGAACAGATCGTATTATATATATATATTTATAGATAAAATATATATTTATATATATGCAAAAATGTGTATAATTTGCAGATGCTCGATAATGCGCGCGCGCGTGTGTGTGTATGTATGTATGTGTGTTGGTATGTATGTATATATTATTTACTTGTGCAGAATTTCTGCATTTATTTGCGTATTGTCTTTGCATTTATGCGATATAACTGATTCTTCCGCTGCAGTAATTACTAGTCTCGTGCCTCGCCTCTATGCTGTCCCCAAAATTGAGCGATTTCCTATTCCTGTTCAATCGTAGTATCGACCTCAGGCCGTTCTTCTTCCGCTTGTACCGGTCGTCCAGTGCTGAATTAAGCGAGGCCTGCTTGACGTCTCCGCGGCTGTTGGAGAAACCCTCTCGCTCGCCCTTATTGCTACTCGTAACCTCGCCGTGCACATCGTCCACGAGCCAATGCTTCTTCGGCGAGAGAAATTTATTATTGCATCCGGGTATAGTGTACATATATTCCGATTGAGCAACATCAACAGGCTTTTCGTAGTGTTTATTGTCGGCACTCGCGTTGCCAGCCAAGGCCCCTTTACTCGTATGCTTCTCGAAATTGTTGGACTTGCCGCTCCTCTTGGGATAGTCCGACAGGTCGGCCGAGTGATTGCTCGTCTGGTTGGTCGGCTTCTGGCTGACCTGCTCCGCGTTTTTGTTCTCGCGCAGCTTCTTGTTCCTCTTGTAGGTGTCCGTGTTCTTGGCGTCGAGCGCGGCGTGCCGTTTCTCAGACATGCTCTGCCTGCCGAGGGCGTCGCGCGAAAATTTGTTGGAGGAGTTGAGTTCCTCCAGAGACAACTGGCTGTCGTACGTGGGATCCCCGGAGTACTGGCTGTCCTTGTCCTCGGCGTTCCGCTTGCCGTCGTTGCCCTGGGAGCTGTCGTTGTTGGACTCCTCGAGCAGCACCGCCTCGACCCGGTCGTCGCGCGAGCCTATCATCTTCTTGGCATTGTTAACCGACTCCAGCCAGGTCTTGTTGGTGGCGAGGCAGTAACTCTCGTTTCTCAGGCTGCTCTTGCCGTACTGCTCCGTCAGCCTGTCGATGACGGGGTTCCACGGCGAGGCCGTTACGCAGGACAGCAGTCCCCCGTTGTCCAACACGTCGGTCTGCGAGTTGAGGGTGTTCTTCTCCTTAACCATGCCGTCGTTGATCTTGGAGGAATCCGATATGTATACGCTGCTGACAGACTCCGGCTTGCGGTGAGGCTGCAGGCTGTCGACGGTGTTCTTCTCGCTCGTGTCGTACGACGATATCCTTCTAGCTATTATAAGATTAATCACGCCGGTCACCGAGCTGTCCGTGTTGACCATCGCCTTCCTCAGCGTCTTCATCGCCTCGGAATTGGACAGCCCCAGCAGCGACACGCCGTTAACTCTGAGCAATTGATCGTTGGTCCGCAAGCGGCCGTCCCGCGACGCCGCGCCCCCGTGGATGACGCTCTTAATAAAAATACCCAGGTCCATGCCGCTGTTGTCCTCGGAGCTGTTGGTCTTGCCCTTGACGCTGACGCCCAGGCCGGCCTTCTCGGTGTCGTGCACCGGTATATCCAGGTTCATTATCACGCGATTCTTGCGCGGGGACAGGACCACGTCCTCGGAAGACTTGATCGGCTTGTAGGCGCACTTGTCGTAGCCGTGAACAGCCGCCTTGTCGTGCGCCTCGCTCTTTGCCGGCGACCTGTTCAACGCGCTCCAATACTTGGAATTGTCGAGCGTCTCGGCGGCCGGGGACGCGGCGGCGGAGGCGACGGAGGCGACGGCGGACGTCGCGATACCCTGAGAATCTGGAATGTTGGAAGAGATCTCCTCCTGCCGCGACACCATCAGCCTGACCTTGCCGCCCGCTGGAATGCTTCTGAGGAGCGACACCACCTCCGCCTGGCTCTTGCCGGTCATCTCCTTGTTGTTGACCTCGAGCAGCCGGTCGCCGGGCCTCAGTCTGCCGTCCTCCACCGCGGCGCCCTTCGGCAAGATGTTCTTAATGTATATGGGACAGTGGCCGCCGGCGGGATTGTCGCGCGTGGTGACGCTAAAGCCTAGACCGTTGCCACCCTTGACCAGCTCTATCTCTATCATCCGGCCGATCTTCCTGGTGTTGGCGGTCTGCAGGAGGTTGTAGTTGCTGCACTGAAGTCTCTTGACGCTCTCGTCGCCCTCGGCCTTCTCCGAGCCGCCGCTGGTGTTGCCGTGGCTCTTGTGCAACGACTTCTCGCCCCGCATGTTCGTCTTGTGCTTGACAACGGAGATCTGCAGGCAGGGGTCGTTGATGCACGCGCGGAAGATCTCCTGGACCTTGGAGAAGGGTATGCGCAGCAAGTTGTGGCCGTTTATCTTGATGATATTGTCGTGCAGGTCGATCTGCCCGTCCCTGGCGATGCGGCCGTTGGGCTCGATGCCCTCGACCCGGAGCCCCTGATCGTTGCCCAGCAGGTCGTAACATGGCACCACGTGCAGCCCCAGCGGCCCCGCCTCGTTCTTTATCACGATCTCCCGCACGTCCTGGCCGCCGGCCTCGACGGCGCTGCCCAACTCGTACGAGGCTTTGGAGTCCTGACCTAAGGGCTCCCTGCGCCGTGACACTCTGGGCAGGGATTGAGCGGAGTAGGTCGCGAGGGAGGGCTCCCTCGTCGACAGCGCGTGCATCGACAGACGCTTGGCACTTTCCCTCTTAATACTATTGGACACGGAGGAATGGACGTCGAGCGGATACGCCTGCTCCTTGCCGTCCCGGTGGAACAGGTCGGGACTATTGGTGCCGACCGAGCTCGCGCCGTCCCCGCCGACGTGGCTGGCGTCCGCGCCAGCGAGGTGCGCGACTATCTGCTCCCGGTCGTCGGCCACGTCGCACAGTCGGTCGTCCGGGTCGAGCAGGCCGCCGCCGGTCAGCGAGGACAGGCTGTTGACCGCCAGGCTGCCGTCGCTCTTGCCAGTGGCCTTCCTGTACCGCAGGATCGCCTCGTGCATCAGGTCCCGCACCAGCAGAGTGCCGTCCCCGCACGGGACCACCACCCTCACGTTGTCGAAGCACACGGTCACCTTCATGCTCGCGCCGAGCTCATATTATACGATTATCGCGTGTCGCGCGGGTCGCCGCGCCTCTCCATGTCCCGCGGACGCGTGATTCACGCTACGGCGCGCCGCGCGCTCGCACCCACGGGCGCCCTCGGGGCGCGCTCGGCGGCGGGGTCTACCGCGGGGGGCCGGCGTGCTCGACGCTGCTGGAGCTCGCTGCCGCGGGCGTCAGGATCTCGTCGAAGGGGCGGAAACACCGGGGAAGGCGGCCGCGTACGCCCGAACTTTATCGCGACATCAGATACGCGGAACAGACGCACTCGCCATTACGACGTTCCACGCCCGCCGTTCCGGGGGCCTCGCGGAACGCCGGGATCGGACAAGATGGCGGAGGCGCGGGCGCCGCCACTGCCGCCAGTCCGCTCCCCCCCCCCCTCCTCCTCCCCTCGCTCCACGTCCTCCACCTCGGCTCGTAGGGGGAACCGTCGAACGCGGCGCCGCGGCGTTCTCGATCGCGCTCTCGTCCGGGAGCGACGCGGTCTCTACGTACCTTTTCGCAGACACTGCGCCATCCTCGTGGAACACGCTCGCGCTCGCTCGTGGTGTATCAATAAAAACAACGAGAGATCCGCTTCCCCGCGAGTCGCCGCAGCATCGTTCACACGGCCACACCGACCACGCAGGAATGGTCCCGGTCCGCCGTTTCTTGTTCAGGACGTGCCGCCGAGTGCGCAGGCGCGCGCGCGCTCCGGCAATCGGGCGCGCGCCCATGTAGCGACGCGTCGATTGCACTTCCTCACCTGCGAACGGCGAGCAGTTTTCCGGGGCTCGATTCTCGAATTTATTCCGCGCGAGGGATCGGCGAGAGAGAGAGAGAGAGAGAGAGAGAGATTGCATTTTCGATCTAACGAGTTCGGAATCGTTAATTGGCCGCGGAGATCCGCGCTCGCGTCCGCCTGTCGCGCTCGGCTTGTAGCGAGGATTCCATTAAGCCTCGTCTACACGACAAGGCGTAAGGCACGGCGCAAGAGCTCAGGCGCAGGCGTTGGAAATAAAATTAGTTTATTTCGCTTGCGCCGCTGCGCCACGACCCTACGATCGGGAAAAATCCTCTTGCGCCTGTGCCCGCGCTCTTGCGCCGCGCCTTACGCCTTGTCGTGTAGACGAGCCTTTAGCTCTGTCCGGGAAACCGTCCAGATTCGCCGCCAATGGCATTAGAAATTGGATTATCCGGGGAAAGTGGAGCGCCCCGCGCCTCGGATGCCGACGCTGTCAGCTAATTGCACGTATATCCATAAACTGGACGCTAGAGTGGCAGGTAAATGTTTGGCGTGCACGACAAACGAGCAATCCGAGTCCCAGCTTGGAGACGGGTGGGGGTACAAGTCATCGTCGTCATCGTATAACAGTGGAGAGTGACGACTCATCGGCCGTACCTCGCTCGCTCCGCGTTCGAAACGTCAAGTCCGTCGCAAAATTTCCAGTGTCTCGCTCCGCAGTTTCCTTCGTTACGTCATCGGTCTCGCTTGAGGACAAACGGTGGAGTACGTGTACTCGCGCACGATGAAGTGGTTCGCGGGGAGCATCAACGAGGCGGTCGCGACGTCCAAGTCGAGGAAGGCGGTCTTCGTCGTGTTCGTCGAAGGTTCGTAATCCGAGTTTGAGGTTAGACTCGGCTCCGAGTCATCCTCCCGCATCTCGACGCTCCCTTACGGATACGCGGCAATATGTCGCGCACGCCGCCGCGGTTATTCCGGCGGATCGGCTATTTGTCTGTGCAAATTGAAACAGTAACGCAGACGTCGGTGCAATGTTTTCTTTCAGGCAAGGACGACGCGTCGGTGCAACTCGCCCGGGCGATTGACGCTCCGGAGGTCTCCTCCCGCCTGGAGGGCGAGCACTTTGTGGCCATAAGATTGGAAAGCGGGTCCGAAGCTTATAGATTCTTCGCGCAGATCTGTATCCTCTTGTATGAATTGCCGTACTCGCAATATTGGTCCAACCCAGACAGCCAAGCCTGTGGAGAGCAGATTTCAGGAAACTCTGTTTCCACATTTTGCCGACAGAAAGACTACGTTTGATACAAACTCTGATACATCACGCGACGTTGGCAGAACATCAACAGAAATATAACAAAGCTTGATAACATGTTTAGACGGCAGACTGGCGGCAGAAATCGAGCGGATCCTGCTCGTGCAACATTGGCGACAGATTGCAGAAACCGCGCAGAATCTGCTGACAATTTGTCAGCGGATTGGTAACAAAATGGAGCAAACTCTGTCGTTTGGTAGCGTAACGGTTCCGCTAAATAGACACACGGTATGACACTTTCTCTTAAGAAGAAAACCACATGCGGTATTACAAATTAATTCGTCCACGTGAGATTCTTTGGTCATCTTTTTCAAGTGCTGAAATGAGCTTTCTTGCACTCTTGTCTACGAGTGCGTAGAAATCTTAAAGGACTACTTGCTTATTTTTATCTTTGTAATGAAAGGAACAGAAATGAAAAATATAAATTAAACGGCAGATCCTGCTCAGCTTTTGCCACCAACCTGCCGTCGAGCTGCCGCGCAGATCCTGCTCGGTTTCTGCCGACAATCTGCTTGTTGTTCGAGCATGTCGGCAAACTCTGACGGCAAAACACAGGCTGAATGCGGACGCAGATGATGTCAATCTGCTGAAATGTTCTGATGAAATCTGTTGCCAGTCTACCTGCAATCTGCCATCATTTTACTTACGGGGAATATTGTAAGCTGGACGCCTCCTCTTATTTATAGCCAATACGTCTATTTAGCAATATTCGAGGGGGAAACCGCTGAGGGCATTGTGGTGTACAGATTTGCGGCATTACTGGGCATTAGTAGGCATTGTTCGGGCATTATAAAGATAAAATAAGGTAATTAGATAAAGTAATGCCCACTGGGCATTAGTGGGCATTGGGGTACAAGATTTTGGTCAGCGGTTTCCCCCTCGGCAATATTGGTCCAATATTGCATCAATATTAGACCGATATTGTTATTACATTGTTAAGTATTGGCCAGTGCACTTCCAATATTAATATAATATATAATTATTATTGTGCGACATTTACATTTATTTCTTGGCCAATATTGGCTCTACGTTGGACCAGTATTTAGCCAATGTCCAGTCAATGCACTGTGCTACTAGGGTAATGACGTCCTAAAGGTGTATTTTAGACACGCACGCTGTCTGGGACCTCATTTTATCGATCGTATTTAAACAGTTTCCTTACGAATTGCGTAATTCAGATCAACTGGTGCCGGTGCCGTCCTTATTCTTCATTGGGGAAAATGGCACGCCACTGGAAATCATTGCTGGTAGCACAACTGCGGCCGAATTACTGTCCAAAATCGATAATGTGCTGACCAAGGCAGGGAAGAGTAATAAACAATCTTCGTTAAGCTTAATCGATGCGGAACAGAGAGCTGCAGCCGCCGGTGGCAGCAGTAATAATAATACCGTTGAGACTACTTCACCTAATATCAATGATAACAATTCCAACCCGAATACAGATTTAACTTCTGGCGTGACAGAGTTGGTTGTGCCAGACCTTTCAAATAATGACAACAATGTCACAGAAGATGCAGCGAAGGCTGCGACTTCATTAAACACAGGGAATCGAGACAATAATGAGGCATCCGCGAAGACGAATGCTGAAACTAATCAAAATAAGGAATTAACAGCCGAGGTATGTGGACCATCAACGATATTGATAATAAATTATGATAAGTAAATTTTGTCTTTATTACTTAAGTAACACAAATAATAGAGACACCTTATACGGTCGAGCTGAATCTTCAATGCTTAATAATATTTTTTGCGTATACATTCAACTAAGCTTTCAGTCTTGAAACACGGTCTGAGCTAAAGTCGAAATAGCGATGATTAAATTGGTAATGAATTGAATAATGATGTTAGATAAGTCTCGATTATTTCTGTGTCTTGTTCGAAAACCAAGTTGGCGAACAGTTCTAACAATAAGATTCGAAAAACAGTCACGAAAGTGTGACATTCGGAAATATCATTTAAAAGCTTATTGCGATAAATATTACCACATGCCTCCGTGGTCGAATTGATGAGACGCCCGCCTAGAGTGTAGGGAGGTCCAGGTTCAAACCCTGGCTGAGGTAATATTTTTCGTAATAAAATTTTGCGCCAGATATGGTCGAATAACATTGCTTGTTCGGTTAAATAAGTATCTTTTTAGAAACGGACGAAAGAATTGCGAAAAGTATTACTTTAGTCGAAACTCGGACCTGAACAAATTATATATTTGTCACACGCCTTTAGGAAAAGGTCGAAAGAGCACGGCAGTTAATTGAGTTACAACGAAAACAACGACTAGACGAGGAGCAGAAGAAAGACCGGGAACGCGAGATCGAACGACGCAAGATGGGGCGTGACGTGCAAAAAATACGGCAAATGCAGCAAGATCTGGAGATAAAGCAAGCTCACGAGGAGAGGATGCGAGAGAAGGCTGCCGAGGCTGCGGCTCGCGAGAAAGTTAGGCAACAAATCGCTCAGGATAAGCTGGAACGAAAACAAAAGGAGCTTGCGCTGCAGGTTGGTGTTATTTTTTTTATTATTAGTGATTTTTATTTTTTTACATTTTATTAGAATTACTAACTTGAAGGCTTCTTTCACTCTCTTTAACAGCAACAAATGCAACAGCCGCAGTGTCAAGAGCAACCCAGGTACAATGCGGCACCTAGTAACGCGACTGTGACGAGAATTCAGTTTAGACTACCGTCCGGCAATTCTCATACAGGACAATTTGAACCATCCGATACTCTGCGCACCTTACGCACCTACGTTACCGAGAACATCGACTTACCTTTCCGACAATTCGCCATGTCGACATCATTTCCCAGAAGAGAACTGACTAACGAGGAAAACGACAAAACACTTTTGGAACTTGAATTAGTCCCGACCGCCGTTATTCTAATTCTTCCCTTGAAAAATGTAAATACAGTAAGCTATTTTTTTGTAAAATATTACACTTTTAATCGTATGTTCGCTATATTATGTTCTTCTTTCGTATTTCCAGTCTAACGTTACAACAGTGGTAACTTCAACGCAAGACGTTGGGTTCTTCTCTCGCTTCATATGGTCCTTTTTCACGCCCGTTATTCGTATTTACAATTACATAGTAGGCTACTTTTCCGGCACTAATGGAGACGCTAATCAACAACGTGGCGATTCCAACAGTGATTCTACAGAAACGACGAACAACCCCGACAGAGCTGTTTCACCGAATCGGCGAAACGTAGTTCAATCTTCGGGGTAGGTTTTCCAAACATGTTAAACAATCTCTCACAGACAGACACACACACACACACACATACAGGTGCGATTATAGAGTCAAGTACATTTACTTGGTATTTAAATAGATTTGACAAAAAAAATTGTACCAGTTATATGATTTTTAATATATTAAATAAACATTTCTCTATTCGTGATGCAGTTTGTTTAGAAGATACTTGGGTAATCAAGGAGGGACTACAATCAGGGCGCAAGGGAATATACATAGACTACATTCAGGCGGGGATGATAATGATGAGAATAACACTTGGAACGGTAACTCCACGCAGCAAATGTAAAGTAACGCAAATCTCGCGCCAGTCACGTTGCAATCGCTATTCAATCAATTACTATTCCCGTTATGATAAATCGTTATGATCTAATTAATATTCGACGCTTTTCACTCTTTGTTGTACAAAACTTATCTGCAACATATTCTTTATTAATACACAAGCAGTTTTAACGGAATTCTCTGTCATAAATGTTTAAATATTCGTCAGTAACATTACAAGAACGAGTATTTGTTAATTGATTAGCAATAATGTGAGCATTGTATCTGGATTGTTATCATAATAGAACGTTTATTGTAATGCAAAAGGGTGTAACATTAATGCATTATGATAAATCGATAAGATACATTTCGAAAAAAGATCGTGGAAATATTGAGCCACAAGTGATACATGGACCAAATGTGAAACGGTTCGTAAAAACAAACGTGCAACTACAAGTTTCGCGAATGTTTTGATTTTAGATTTTTGAAATTTTAATATCTATATAGGTTTATTGATCTTAAGTTATATCGATGCTACTGCAAGTTTCTTTTCTTCTTTTATCCGATTAAAATTTTTTCTTTGAACTTCGGAAAACAATGCAACGTTGTCCGTGTGTAATTTAATATAACGACAGTTAATTATATTAAGATTCGATAAATATATTCTTTGTTAATGATGTTAATAATATTCATTATTTTTTATTATACTTTGTAGTATAATAAGAGTATAATTATGTGAGTCAATATAACTACATAGTCGAAATAACTAGATACCGAAATCCGCGCGTGTAATATGTAAATGTCTTTATGCGAAATAATATAATTAGGGATGATTATTTTCTGAAGATAGTAAACGAGCACAGAATTTGAATGAGATGCAGGCCTGTCTTAATGCCTAAAGAAATAAATAGAAAGGTTCATGGCAAGGTCTCGTTTTCATTGAATTAAACCCTTTTCCGTATACTTTACGTGAAATGTGCATATTGTATTATGATTATTGCAAAACATTGACGGCGATTGGACATTAAATTAACAGTTTTTCACAATTTGTGTATCGAGGGTGATACAACATTTATTATATGTACAATGACGGTACGAATACAAAGTCACAACGTGAAGATTTTTCACATGTCGAAACGCGACTCCAAAAATATGTTCGAGGCGAGAGAAAACGAACGCCAGGAACCTGTCGTTCCGTGTCGCGTATCACACGGCGGACATGTTAAGAGGAACGAAGATATATCTTAACTGTTGCACTTGCCACTCGCCAATTAAGCGTGAAATTAACAAACATTTTGGCTCACTAGCCACCGCAAAGGTTTCAATTTTCTGAATGTGAGACGGCAGAGGTCTATCAGAGCGGTACTATGCATCGGTAACATGATCTCGCAGTCACACCCACTGACAGTTTCTAGAGAACTCTGTCCGCGCTTCACAAAATCCTTCGTATAAATCAAATTAAACGACTCTCGAGCTTCGATCGAGGCATGTATTTTAAAAAGCAATTTTATCTGACAAAAAGTATTGCAATTAAAGATTTTAAATTCTATTTTGTTAGCTCGAGAATTATTCAAGAAAATTTGCACAATAAAATTACGAGTTGTATAAAGTTAGAAGAGATTCACGTAATTAATTTTGTTATCTTTATGTCGACTCATCGTGTGCATGAAAAAAGTATACACAATCAGGAATACAATCTCATTAAAATCACAGTTTATATCAAACGAAGGAGCAGGTTCGCCGGAATGGCGGTATGATGTAAATTCGCGGATATTCGCGGGTCGCCACTTCTTGGCGGTGTCTAATAATATACCGAAGACCCAGTTTTTCGTGTTTTGGGCAACGCACTCAAAACGATCTCATTATTATATACGATAATCTGGAAATATGTTCATCGCGTAGGAAAGATGATCTTCGTAATAGCTACCAGCACCAAATAGTCACCGAAATAGCGGTTTAATGGCATAAATGCATTTGTCGAACGCATTAAGCAGTGCCATCGGATTAATTATTAGACAATAACGTACAGTTGTGAAACTAAACATTACACATTTTTCGTACGATATAATGATACACTTTTGTGAGTGTTACGTCTGTTGCATTGTAAGTCAATTTATTATTTTTAAATTATTTTTAAATGTGAGTCCGATTAAGGTATTATTGTTCAAACATACTATTTATATAAGTACTTGTATGCCTTTCGACCGGACAAATTCAGTCGGAATCAACGACAGTTCCCTTTTTCTCTCTTCTTTCTATTAAATTAATAAGTTATAGCTGAATCAATTTTGCATCGCATCTGTTACCTATCATGATTATTAAACGGCGTTCCGTGGCAGTGACAGAAATTTATAGTCACCTCATTACCACCGTTTAGTGGTCGCTACCGTCTCGCAATACGAGATCATTAAAAGCTCCTTCCAGAGACGCACGTGCTTGCCAAGATCCGCCCAGGGGATTGTGCGATTGGTCGAGCTCGCGATGACGTCGTGAGCACGTGGCTTTGGGATACCGCCTCAAGGGACGAAGAATTTGACTTGAGTGCCAAAAAAATATTGTTGGACACCGCGAGTAACCCCGACAAAACAGTCGCTGGTTTCGGCTCTAATCTTCCGAACACAGAGATCAAGGGGGTACCAATGTAATCAGAGAGCTTTGTTGTTCATTCTTTCGGTTATTGCCGATATCACCGTTTTCTCGTTTAATTAAAATATAATATAATGTATTAATTTACAAAGAAGATGCTACAAGTGAAATACCAAAATCGTGCGATTAAGTTTTGGTGAAACGGTATCGTCACTAAACTGATTCTTGTGATATCTTAAGTACATAAACCGGGTCAGAGAAAAAAGTGAGTGATATTAAAAATTAATAGAAAGAACTTAAAAATATAATCCTTGAAGAACTAACTTCAATAAACGCGCACCATTCACTCGAGAGTATCGAAAAGACAGTTTTATAGATGCTATTAGCAAGATATTCTGAGTATTGTCTCGACCAAATATATTCAAGATGTCCGACGAAGAGATGAAAAAGTCAGGTTCGCCGAAGGGGACGAGCGATTCTGCGGAAAATCCGAGATTGTGCTCTTTCAGCATCGAGAGACTATTAGCACCGAGCAAGATAGAGGAAGAAGAAAATAAGTTCTCACAGCACACCGATTTGTCCTTGCTTTGCCAAGAAAGTGAGTAGTAAAAAATTGTTCTAACGTCTACTACAATAACTAACATCTATTACAATTTTAACATCTAACATCTATTACAATCGGTTGTCAATCGCCTTTAGAGAAAGTTAACGAATAGATTGTTTCTGTGTTTCTCTTATTCAATATAACAATTTTTAAATTATTCTATTGTTAAAAAATGATTGCCTGTCTCTTTATATAATATGATTAGCAAAATACTCTTCCATAAATATCACATTATAAGTCATATGCTATGTAATATCATGAGCACAGTTTTAAAATTGAATTTTTATTTAATAATATTATACATTTCATCATTACATAACGAGAAAGACAATTTTTCTAGAAACGTACATTCTCTTTTCAATTATGATGAATTTTGTGAGCGATCTCGATGTAACACAATCCGTGGTAAAGATTAAATTAACTAATTACGTTTCCCAGATAACGAATTGGAGACGAGAATGGTTGTTGCACCCGATTCATCCATGTCAATGGCGGAGGAAATTGAGCTCGACGATACTGACATGGTATTCTCGACATCTCCTGAACCAGAGATGTATTATGGTGAGTTTCATTAGTATTATTACGCTCTATTACATTTCCAGACAATCGCATAAATACCTACGATGTAATGGCTTGCTTGAAAGAACGTTCTCTTATTGCTTTAATTTAAATTAAAGCAAAGAGAAAGATCATTTTTCCAAGAGGCACATATTTAAAAAAAGACTTAGAAAATCGACATTAATAAAAAAAACTACATCCTAATTATGCTCGTTGTCACCAACGTCGTTTTAGTTTCGCTCATTCTTTGTCTCTTTCTAATTTTTCCTTAGAAAGATACAAAAAATTACTTATATAAACTTAGATCAAAGTTAAATGACGTTGGTGAAAACCCGGATTAATCGCATGTTTTTAGATGTTTAATCAACTGTTTAATGTCGCAAAATTGATTAAGATCAACATTTATTTGAAATTAGTTTCTCGGTTTATTTATTATGATAAGATAAACTTGGCATTCGAATACTTATACATAAGTATCCAAATAAATAATTGATACATTTTACCCATCAAAAAATAAACCGAAAAACTTAAATAAGGACTCTCGATAATGAAAATAATTTTATTTTTCAAGTACAGCTGTAAAATGTCTTAAATATTCAATAGCATTTGATTACATAGATATATGCGAAAATAAATTCGCTTATGTGAACGCCAATGTCAAAATTTACACAGGTGTAAAACACTTGTATTTATTTTGTTAAATAGCCTAATCGATAAAGACACGTCGAACAAAACCAGACATAATAATAGATTTCGGAAACATTTGAATTCGTCGGCAATATTTATTAAAGTTATTACAGCCAATAACGCCATTACTGCATGTACATATACGTACTGTTGGAAAAATTTAACGTGCTTATTTTACACCAAATCAGATAAAGCTATGTTTACTGACGTTCACAATAGCAGGTTTAAACCGTCAAATATTGTTAACGCGTGTGATGTGTCAAAATCATTTAATCAACTGTTAACATTTAAATTTGCGTAACTTAAAAAGAATCATATTTTAGCAATTTTACTTAAAATAATCAAATCTGTAAACATTACAATCTTTCTGCGTAATTGCATGTATAAATTATTGTGAAGTTGAGCGATATTTCTCTCAAGTTACGACGTCAAAAGAAATATTATTATGCATTTAACAAAGTACAAATGTGAATAGATAGAAGCGAATAGATTGTCCTTAAAAAACACAATTTTGTTTTGATGTTTGGCGTCGACAGTTGCCTATGTGAGTCTTCCAGCGAAGAGAGTTTCCGAATTTTCATTCGCAACGTATTATTCTTAGACTCTTGATGTTAACAGAAAAAAGTAGTCCTCTTAATGGTAGCGCAAATATATATTTGCACATACGAGTACTCGTACATCTTCGAAGAAAACCTTCAAAGTTTACTTAGAGTCTTTGAACTCGTCAAGAGTTATATCGTCATTCGCCGGAACCGATTTTGTATCGGTTAGCTGGTAACATTATTACGGATACTAGAGGGACTAATTGTTATAAAATCCACACGGGACTTCTCTTGCGGTAACGAATCTGTAAGATCGCGCGAAGAGGACCGTCGCCTGTGAGTTTGATCCATTACTTCCTGCAGGCTCCACGCCTACTCAATGTTTCTGCTCTTCGTCCACTATTTATCTGTCTCCCCTGCTAATTCTACCATGGAAATGCGGCAACTCTCTCACTTACAATAAAAGAACGACGCTGGTAAGACTTTTCCAAAATTTTGTCTATAGACATTACTCCTGTAGCACAGTGCATTGGCTAAACATTGGCTGAATATTGGTCCAACGTTGGTTACATTAAAAATGCATTCGCCGATATTGTCCAACATAAAGCCAATTGACCAAGAAACACATGTAAATATCGCACGACAATAATTATATAATATTAGATTTATATTGGAAGTGCATTGGCCAATATTTAACCATGTAATAACAATATTGGTCTAATATTGATACAATATTGCTATCTAGATTGCTAAATAGATAGATTGGCTAAATAAGAAAAGGCTTACAGTACTGGGAATACTAGATTTACATTATATCCGAATATTGCGCCAATATATTATACTACTAGACTTTTAAACGGCGCTAAATCATTGGAACTGTTTAAGCTTCAAATTGCAACTTTATAAACTTGCAAGTCCGGGGAAAGTTCCTTTTAAAACGTAACAGCTAATTTATTATTATCACGTGCAGTTCATTCCATACATAGTTTGCTCGGTGAATTTTTCATATAAAATTATTTCTGAGAATGATTACTGTTAAAATATACAATTGCTGGGAAGCAGTGCTGCAGCCCTCAAACATATTTCAATTGTTATCCGACACGGCATAATGTGTGGAGAACTGGCTTATGTTTTACGGATAATTAATACGAGAGCCGAGCGACTCAATTCCGTGGCATCTCACACGCCCTCAAGGGCTTCAACGACTAATTTCCATCCCAGGGCACGTAACCGCATCGTGATTTACACGCCGTAATGGCCGACGCGATAAATTCGAGATCTAAGGAAAGGACAATTCTCGTTTGCGCTGGGACTGAGATATGTGGGATGTCGCGTCCAACTACAAAGCCGTCAACGCGGCACGTAAATCTTCGTGAAAGAACGACATAAAGAGCAAGGGGTGATACCAGAGAAGCGCTCCTTGAATGAGCCTATTATGATATCGGGGGATAGTTTTGCATTCATATACAATACTTCTTCGTGTTATTTTTTTTCTCTCTCGGATATTACACTTGTCAAAGTGTTACTGAAGGATATTGAAATAGAAGTTGATTAAAAAGCACATAACTAAAGTTTATTAAATATATGATATCTTTAAGTATCAGAGATTGAATTTCCGAATACATTTTCTTGCCCAAGTTATTAAAATCTAATCTACAATGTGCTCTTCGCATCTAGAAATATTCTATTTTATAATCAATAAACGTTTACAAAATTTGCGCAAGTGAATAAATTGTATATTATGCACAATCGTACATTGTCGACCAAGTTTTTACGCTTTTCGATATGTTTATGTAAAATAGAATATTTCTAGATGCAGAGTGCACATTGTAGATTAGGCTTAATACGTTCATTGATAGCAAGTAATCTCTGTTTGGATATTAAGAGCTTGAGTGGCAACAACGCACCCAGTCGTAAACTCATCTCTAAGGCAGATTTGCCAATCGTCGCGACTCGCGTGCAAATTAATTATACTCGGGGGTTTGATTGCGAATATAAAACGGCCAGCGGACGTCAGACGAGCGAGATTTGGCCGCGCTTTATCGCACACTTCTGCGTGCTCTCGTGCCATTCGTCACCGAATAATTAGGAGACAAGTCCGCTGTGGCTCGCGGCAATTAGGTAAACTAGAAGGCGTGGTGTTCTATTTCCGCGACGTCCAACGTGTTCCTGTCCCTCGAGCCTCGCTCCTCTTTGCCCTCCGTGTCGTCGGCTCCTTTTTGCGGTCGCTTCCTCCGCAGCAATCCTTTCCCACCGCTTTCCAGAGCTCGTTCGTCAATGCAACCGAGTCAGAAACCCGACGACAAATGAGCCGTGCGAGACGCGCCCCTTGTGCAGACTCTTTTCTCCCTCTTCTTTCTGCATGCTTCCGGTCGCGAGCAGGTTGCGATAATTTTATGTGCATCGTATACGTCGAGGGAATAATCAACCTGCGCTTGACATTAATATCTCCTTGTATATCAAGATTACTGTAATAATGTTACAGATTGTTATTTCATTTTCTCATTTAATAGTTACTACGTTATATTATTGTATTTTCAATAAATATATAAATTGAGTTAAATAATTTTGATCAATTTCACTTGACTTAGGCTGGCACGACATGAATGTAATACCAGTCCAAGTCAATTGAAATTTTTATCGAAATAGTTATAGAAAAAAATGTAACTGAGTCAAGTTACAGTTACAGATGGAGAGAAAGTAACGAAATTAGAGTTATCAAACAAAAGTAACTGTTACTGTAACTTCGTTACAACACTTACGGAAAAAGCACTCAAGTTTT